AAGACCATGTGAGGAGACAGAGAAAAGGTAAGCCAGCAAGTGGGGCCTCACCCGAAGCCAGTCCCAACAGCTCCCTGATGTTGGACCTCCAGACTCCAGAAACCAGAGGCAAAATTTCTGTTGTTTAAGCCACACTATCTGTGGTATTCTGCAAAGCAGCCCGATCAGACACTCCAGGAAAAGCTTTTCAGACACAGGACCCATCCAGACACTCCAGGAAAAGCTTTTCCTCTCAAGATCTTTAGTTTAATCATGTCTTTTGCCATATCAGATGATAGTCACAGGCTCCAGGGATTAGGATGTGGACTAGTTTTTTTTTTTTGTTTTTTTTTTTTTTTTTAATGGTGGGGTTTCACCATGTTAGCCAAGCTGGCCTCGAACTCCTGACCTCAGATGATTCGCCCACCTTGGCCTCCCAAAGTGCTGGGATTACAGAGATGGGCCACAGCACCCAGCCTTTATTTATTTACTTGTTTATTTTTTTGAGACAGAGTCTTACTCTGAATGCAATGGCTCAATCTTGGTTTACTGCAACCTCTGCCTCCCAGGTTCAAGCATTTCTCCTGCCTCAGCCTCCTGAGTAGCTGAGACTACAGGTGCCCACCAGCACATCTGGCAAATCTGTGTATTTTTAGTAGAGATGGGGTTTCACCATGTTGGCCAGGCTGGTCTTGAACTCCTGACCTCAAACGATCCGCCTGCCTAGGATCACAGACGTGGGCCACTGTGCCCAGCCTGAATGTGGAATAGCTTTTGTGGAGGGGAGGAGTAAGGGGATCATTCCACTCACTACAGAAGGCTTCACACGGAAGGGACATTTAAGCTGAGACTTGAAGCCTGAGTAAGGGTTAGCCTAGCGGGGGGAAGGAGAGGAGTACTGGAGGACTGCCCAGACAAGAGCAAGGAGCACAGCGAGGCCCCGGAGTGAGGTGTGCAGTGCAGCAGAGAGTGCAGAGGAGCGAGGCTGGTGCTTGGATAACGGGGGCCAGATTGTGCAGAGCCCTGGGACTCTTCTGAGCCCTGTTGGGAGGCTGCATTTTCCCTTAAGTCTTAGAGGGTTTCAGATGAAGGGGAGGGAGGGCAGGACACAATCAGATTAACGTTTTATAGATTCAAAGCTGTGTGAAAGAGCCAGGTAGGAACCAGGGAGACCAGTTAGGAGGGTTTTGCTATACTTAAGCAAGGGCTGGTGGGGATTAGAAATAGCTAGCTAGATATCTAGAGTGGAGAGCTGAAGACTTGATGATTGACTGGATCTGAGGAGTCAAGAGAGGGAGGCTTTAGGAAGAACTCCTAACTTCGTGGCCTGAGCAACAGGGTAAACGGTGTCGTTATTACTAGGAGCGAGGGAGCGTGCAGGGCTGAGTTGGGCGAAAGGAAGGGCTAAGGATGATTTTCTTGGGAATAGGACGAGTTGAGCTGTTTGAAGGAGCTGGCTTCAAAAAGAGGTGTTCAGTGTTTAGTTAGCTACACGGAGCTCTGGAGAAAAGTCTACCCTAGGGAAAAAGGACTGAAGGTTGTCAGACATCAGGTAGTAAATGAAACCTTGAGAGAAAACAAGCACAGCCAGGGAGAGCTGGAAGAGTGAGAAGAGAACGCAGGACACAGCCCTAAGAAAAACACAAAACACTTTATTCGAGCGTAGAGGCGTCTAGGCGGGAGACTGAGTCTGAGCCCTAGAGGGCACTTGGGTTACAGAAAGGAAGAGAGCATGGAGTCTGTAGAAACAAATGTTACCTGGAGGCAAAACAGATACAAACCAGAGTGTTCACTGCGTTGAACTTTATCTGGGTCAGTGGGTGGCTCTGGGTGCAGTGGAGAGATGAAGACCCAGTTGCTGTGGGACTCGGGAGGGCTGCAGAGGGAGAGAAGAGACGCCTCTCCATGGAGAGGAAAGAGACAGCTTAGGAGTCGGAGGGAGTTTTGACAAGAGGCTTTGATTTTACCTTTACGATTGGGAAAAAATAAATGTGTTTAAGTGCTGATGAGAGAAGTCTACAGAAAGGTAGAAACTGATGATAACACGAGGAGCTAGGCTCTCCCTGAGCAGGGAGTTGAGGAGCGGTCCAGCATCCAGGAGTTGGGATAGATGAGCGACCTCGTATCGAAGGGAAGAGAGAAGACGGAAGCAGTGAAGAGATGTGATGGCACATGTTCCACGTCTTCTTTTCCGGGAGCATCTATGTCCTTCTGATGGGGTGGGGTGATCTGCTGAGAGGCTGTGGTGGGGGTGACAGAATTGAAGGGTGGAGATTTGAAGTAGAAGATCAGGAGGGTTGACTCAAGAAGCAAGATGGGGCTGCAGGGGTCAAAGAGATGCTGCCTGGGAAGTAACTGAGTCGCCTCGTTGGAAGTTTAAAAAGTTCCAGTTTTCTGATTTCAGAGGAGGAGTGGATCTGGGACAACAAGGTCAAGGTGTGTCATTGGAGGCCTTTTTTTCATTTTTCTTGCTGAACTCCCCTGGCTGGAACCTATAGTACCACCTTGAATAGAAGTGGCAAGAAAGGGGATGTGCAAGCAGCAGGACGGGGTAGTGCAGTGTGGTGAAGGGTGGCAGGGAGTGAGTCAGGACTGTTTCTGTTTCTTTCTTTCCTTCTTTTTCTTTCTTTCTTCTTCTTTCTTTCTTTTTTTTCTTTCTTTCTTTCTTTGTTTTTTTTTTGAGATGAAGTCTTGCTCTGTAGCCCAGGATGGAGTGCAGTGGCACGATCTCAGCTCACTGCAACCTCCACCTCTGGGGTCCTGGTTCAAGCAATTCTCCTTCTACCTCCCAAGTAGCTGGGATTACAGGCATGAGCCACCATGCCTAGCTAATTTTTTTTTTTTTGTATTTTTTTAGTAGAGACGGGGTTCACCATGTTGGCCAGTTTGGTCTTGAACTCCTGACCTTGTGATCCACCTATCTCAGCCTCCCAACGTGCTGGGATTACAGGCACGAGCCACCACTCCCTGCCAGCACTATTTCTTTTTAAGTTAAAAAAACAATAGTATTCCCAGAGGCTTCATTCTGCAGATTTGTGCTTTTAACTCATAGGTGGCTGAAGGGGAAAAGCAAAGCAAAGAAGTGGGGAGCTCAGGTGTGATGGGTCCTTGAGGTAGGGGCTTCAGGTCACCTAAGATGCTGATGGGACTTGAGGAGGCGAGAGATCAAAGCCAGAGCCCGAATCTTCACTGGAAGACTACATGGAGCAGTTTCGAGGCGAGTGAGGCAGTTCTGGTCCCAGGAGGCTGGGATGAGTACAGGAATGTGACCCTTGGCTGACCGTGGTCTGCAAACCAGTCTAAGAAAGGGCTGTTTCTTCTTCTTTTTTTAAGTGGTGATAAAAACCTAATTAACCAGATGCCTTAGCATGAAAAATTACCAAGAATGATCTACTGAGTGATCTAATCAATTGTGCAATAAATGAATCCAATTGCAACAGGAAAAAAATCTTCAAAACAGTCAATATGGTTGTTTTCATAAAGACATTTATTGAATAAATGTCAGTGACTTCACTTTAAGGCCAAACACAGTTTTACATTATAAACTGGTCCTCATTATCCATTCTTTGACTCCCTTTTCTAAGTGTGTATAATCCAGACTTCACTAAATCTCTACTTTAAATGGCAAGTTAAGCCTCATAATTCATTTCTGTTTTAGTGGAAATGGAACAGAACCAACCACTGTACTCTTCATAATAGGTTGTAATATCCGTATTGAAGACCATTGTTAATTTCCCATATCCTGCCTTCTTTCTTCCAAGCCATATCCTGCTTCTGTTGCCTCTTTCACAGAGCATCTATTTCTCTACCCCTTAATAATTTTATATATAAGCCAAAAAAAATCTCCTTGTTAAGAAACAACAGATTTTGGCCAGGCACGGTGGCTCACGCCTGTAATTTCAGCACTTTGGGAGGCCAAGGCGGGCAGATCATGAGGTCAGGAGATCAAGACCAGCCTGGCCAACATGGTGAAACCCCATCTCTACTAAAAATACAAAAATTCAAAAATTAGCTGGGCATGGTGGCGGATGTCTGTAATCACAGCTACTTAGGAGGCTGAGGCAGGAGAATCGCTTGAACCTGGGAAGCAGAGATTGCAGTGAGCCAAGATCACGCCACTGCATTCTAGCCTGGTGACAGAACAAGACTCCATCTCAAAAAAAAAAAAAAAAAAAAACAGATTTGATAGAACCATGTATTTACTAAGAGTATCTAAAGGCAGGTCAGTACTTTAACAGTGGAGTATTATGTCTAGGAAAATTTCTACTGGAAGAAGGAATTATTATTAATTATTTACAGATACCATTCTTGCCATCTTATGGTAAGCCAAGGTCTCTTCTCTGGTATTCAGCAGAATGAAACCAGTCCAGGATGAGTGTTTTGTTTTGTGTTGTGTTTACAAACATCTCTGTTGGTTAGAAAGTTGCGGCAGTCACAGCTACTATACACCGTTAGGTGCGAACACACAGTGTGCCAGGTTCTGGGCTAAACATCTTACATACATCTAATTTAAACAGCACAAAGCCCCCATGAGGTCAGTATTTTTATTATCCCCTTTCTATGGACAAGGAAACTGCTTAGAGAGCTTAGATGTGTGCCTCATTGATACAAGCAAACAAAAAGTGAAACCTGTATTCAAAGTTAGATCAGTCCAAATCCAAATCCATGCTTTCAATAAATCGTTTGCTGCTGTGATAAAAATTAAGGGTGTGTGTGTGTGTGTGTGTGTGTGTGTGTGTGTGTGTGTGTAAAGCGGGGAAGGTAGAGGGCTGGGAGGCTGTGGGGTAGGGGTTGGGATAGGCAAAGAGAGAGAGAGAGTAAAGGGAGTGGTGAGAATTTTGGAAACAAGTAAAGCAGGAGCATTCTTTTTGATGCTATTGTTAATGGATTTGTTCTCATTTGGGGGTTGTTTATTGTTAGTGTATAGAAATAGAATTGATTTTTATGTATTCATATTGTATCCTGCAACCTTGCCAAATTCATTTATTAGCTGTAATCAATTTTTTTTTTTTTTTTTGCAGATTATTCGGGATTTTTCTGTAGACAAGGGTATGTCATCTGCAAATAGAGGTAACTATTTCTTCCTTTCTTTTTCTTTTCTTTTTTTTTTTTTGAGACAGAGTTTTGCTCTTGTTGCCCAGGCTGGAGTGCAGTGGCACTATCTTGGCTCACTGCAACCTTCATTACCACGTTCAAGAGATTCTCTTGCCTCTGCCTCCTGAGTAGCTGGGATTACAGACATATGCCACCACTCCTGGCTAATTTTTTTTATTTTTAGTAGAGATGTGATTTAACCATCACATCTGGTGATGACCAAGCTGATCTTTAACTCCCAGCCTCAGGTAATCTGTCCGTCTTGGCCTCCCAAAGTATTGGGATTACAGGTGTGAGCCACCGTGCCTGGCCAACTATTCCTTCCTTTCTAATGGGCTGCCTTTTTTTTTTTTTTTTTTTTTTTTTCCCTTGTTGAACTCCCCTGGCTGGAACCTACAGTACCACATTGAATGGAAGTGGCAAGAAGTGGGTAGTGCAGGCAGCAGGACGGGGTTGTGCAATGTGGTGAAGGGCAGCAGGGATTAATTGAGTGAGTCAGCACTATTTCTTTTTAAGCTATAAAAGCAATAGTATTCCCAGAGTCTCCATTCTGCAGATTTCTGCTTTTAACTGATTGATCAAATGAGTCACAGAGCCATCTCTAATTGTAAGCAAGACTGGAGAGATGAATATTAACTGAGCATATTGCTACCTGGTTAAAAATGGACGTTGCATTGGTAAGAAAGAAGGGGAAAATGGATACTGATTAAGCTACTAGCTATACCTGCCAATATTATTGAGAAGAAAAAAATCGATGTCTGAGTCAAGAAAAAGGGCACTGTTTAGCCAAAGGGAAGAAAAAAGATCCTGTTTATGTATCAAAAATTTAGATTTTCTTCTAGTGCTATGTATGTTTTTGAGGTTTTTCATGGTTAACTATGGGTAAGTGTTTCCAAAGAGGGTGACTTATTGGGGAGCTCTCCCGGGTTTACATGGCAGAGTAGTTCTTTCCACAGGCCACGCGTTGCTGCTCTGATGCCTCAGTTCCAAGGTCTAAGGCAGGGGCCGGCAAACATTTTTGTTAAGGAGCCAGATAGCAAATGTTTTAGGCTTTGTGGGTTACATGGTATGGCAGGCTGAAAAATGGGCCCTCCAAAACATGTCCACCTTCTAATCACTGGAACCTGAGAATGTGTCACTTCACTTGGTGAAAGAGGATTTGTAGATGTGAGTAAATTAGGGATTTTGAGATGAGATTTTATCTTGGATTATTGGGGTGGGTGCAGTGTAATTGAAAGGGTCCTTATAAGAGGGACACAGAGGGATTAGAGAGACAAATTGTAAGATTCTGTGCTGCTTCCTTTGAAGATAGAGGAGGGGGCCCAGAGCCAAGGAAGGCAGGTGATCTCTAGACGTTATAATAGACAAGACAAAATGGATTTTTCCCTAGAGCCTCCAGGAGAAATGCAGCCCTGACAACACCTTGATTTTTTGATATCTGACTTCTAGAACTTTAGGAGAATAAACTGTATTATTTAAGCCACTAAGTTTGTTGTACTTTGTTATGGCAGCAATAGGAAACAAATAGATGTGATTTCTATTACAACTACTTAATTCAGCTATTGTACCAAAAACAGCTATAGACAATACATAAGTGAATGGGCGTGCTGTGTTCCAATAAAAGTTTATTAACAAAACTAGTAGGCAGGCTGGATTTGGTCCATGGGCTATAGTTTTCTGACTCCTGATCAATATAATCTCCAATTTTGCAACATCAGTTTGTCTCTAGTGTTTTTGTTTATTTGTTTGTTTGTTTTTTGAGACAGGATCTCACTCTGTGACCCAGGCTGGAGTGCAGTGGCATGAACTTGGCTTTGACCTCCCAGGCTCAAACGATTCTCCTGCCTTAGCCTTCTGAGTAGCTGGGACTACAGGTGAGTGTCACCGGGCCCAGCTAGTTTTTTATTTTTTGTGGAGATGGGGTTTTGCCATGTTGCTTAGGTTGGTTTCGAACTCCTGTACTCAAGTGATCTGCCCGCCTCAGCCTCCCAAGGTGCTAGAATTACAGATGTGCACTACTGCACCCAACTGTCTCCATTTTTAAAATTAAAATACATAGTGTTCTAGTAAATATTCTTGTGGGTAATTTATTGGACCTATCTTAGATTACATATCCAGAATAAATTCTAGAAATGAAATTCCTGGTCTTCTCTGAAGAGGGAATTGAGTGGGAAAAAAAAAGAAAATGAAAAATATATTCTTGGTCAAAGTGTGTGTATCTTTTCTCCCCTAGTGACCTCTGATGAAGCCACAGTAATCCATATTCCCAGGGGAACACAGGTGGCCTGCCTCTCTGCGTGCTCGGTGTGCCAATTCTTGGTAAGGAGATATAGGGAATGGAGTGAAACATTGGATTAATGACTAATATTCATATTTTATACACGAATTTAAGATATTGGAACAGGTTATTTCTCTGGAAACCCTGAAGTTGGGCTGTTTAATATGCTATTTTAAATATAGGCAACAGAAAACAAAATACAAAGTCTAATTTCTGACACTTTAAAGTGTTGGCGAAGTGTCCTCCTTATTAGTATAGCGGTGAGTATCCTCCCCTTTCATAAAATGTTGGCAACTAGGCTGGGTGCGGTGGCCCATGCCTGCAATCTCAGCACTTTGGGAGGCCAAGTTGGGAGGATCACTTGAGGCCAGGAGTTTGAGACCAGCCTGGACAACATAGCGAGACTTTGTCTCTCCAAAAAGTTTTTAAAAATTAGCTAGGTGTGGTGGCATGTGTCTGTAGTCCCAGCTACTTGGGAGACTGAGGGGGAGGATGACTTGAACCCAGAGATGGAGGCTGCAGTCAGTGAGTCAAAATCCCATTACTGTACTCTGGCATGGGCGACAGAATGAGACCTCATCTCAAAAAAAAAAAAAAAAAATGTTGGCAAATGATTACAGTCTTTCCATTTCACTCAGCCCCTATACCAAACGTGTTCATAGTTGGGACAGCGTTAGCATTTGGTTCTCTTAGTATTGGCCCGTTGTCAATGGAAAATGGCTGGTTACATGTGATTTTCTCATTAATTGTCTAAACTGAGAGTGAAAGGATAATATTTCTGTGATGTGCTCTTGACCATCTTATTTTTTACTATAAGAGAACCTATCCTTGTATTCACAACTTTATTCTTGCTGATCTCTACAGGAATTTCACTTTGGAGTCCCTATTTGGGGAAGTCAGTATGCAGGAGAAGTGATTGGTAAATTCATTCTTTGCTATTTGGAGGAAAGAAAAGTCAGTACCTCCTATTTCCCCATAAAATTCCATGTGATTCTAAGATCACTCTAATTATTCTGGTTTTAGCAAGGATCCGCAAATTGGGGGTTCTATTCAGATCAGCCAAAAGTCCTTATAAAATTCTTGGGGGCACTCCACTGCCACAGTGTTGGGATCCTGCATTAAACTGGGGCATTGGGGCATTATAATAAATAGAATTGCTGGGAGCTGAACACAGGCAGTTTGATTGCAAAGCCCTTACTTTGCACTGTGGATTATACTAGACTGTCAATAGATGCAGTCTTCTTTTATCCAATCAATCAATCAGTCAATCAATTCATAAGGGTGTTAATTTACTGGGCGTGGTATACATCAATAAGGAAAACAGATAAACTTCCTGTTTTGTTGGAGATTTACTTTCTAGTGGGGATGAAGTGGGAGCCAAGACAAAAAACAACCAACAATCCACATACTAATCTTATTAATGTAGTAAACATAATAACATATAAACATATTAAGTTAATCATAAAATGTTAGAAGGTGTTAAGTACAGTGGGAGAAGAAAGGAAGAGAGCAGGGGAATGGGGATTGGGAGTGGGTCTACGTAGACAGGCTTCATTGAGAGCCTGGCATTTGGACAACGATTGAAGGAGGAGAGGGAGTTTTTTTGGATTCTTATCCAATTCCTCTTTTTCTACACTTGTAAAAATTTCTCAGTGAAATTTACACCAGTATAATATCTGCTACCTACTATTTATAGGGTGATGTTGTACTTACAGTACCATCTGTAGGCTGCTTGAAATTTTTATTAAGCGGAGGACCCAAACTTAAATTATCAAGTTCCTGAAAACTGTAACCAATAATATACAACTTGGTCTCAATTATTTGGACATTAGGTGAAGACAGAGATGTGCCTCCCCACCGCCTCCAGTATGTCTGATTTATGTGTGTATGTGGACTGAATCCAAAGGCTATCTATAACACTCAAGGGGAAGATAAACAACCAGGGTCCGGCGCGGTGGCTCACACTTGTAATCCCAGTGTTTTAGGAGACTGAGGTGGGAGGATCACTTGAGGCCAAGAGTTCAATACCAGCCTGGACAGCATACTGAGACCCCCATCTCTACCAAAAAAGAAGAAAAAAAGATAAGCAATCTTAGGTAACTGACCTAGGGAAACAGAAGAGAAGTTACGGAAAAGTAAAGCCAAACACATATTTCTTCTCTGGTCTTGATTGTTGTGCAAAACTCTTCCAGTGAAAAAGCATAACAATACATGGGAAATATTGTTTTGTATTTGTTTTCACTTTAGATGCCTGGTATCTTGACATAAAATATGCATTGAACTGATAGATATAGATATAGATATAGATATAGATATAGATATAGATATAGATAGATATAGATATATGCTGATACATATACATATATATATATATATATATATATTTTTTTTTTTTTTTTCTCTGAGATGGAGTCTCACTCTGTCATCCAGGCTGGAGTACAGTGGCACCATCTTGGCTCACTGCAACCTCCGTCTCCTGGGTTTAAGCGATTCTCCTGCCTCAGCCTCCCGAGTAGATGGCATTACAGGCACCCACCACCATGCCCAGCTGATTTTTGTATTTTTAGTAGAGATGGGGTTTCACCATGTTGGGCAGGCTGGTCTTGAACTCCTGACCTCAGGTGATCTGCCTGCCTTGGCCTCCCAAAATGTTGGGATTACAGACGTGAGCCACCATGCCTGACTTTGAGATGTTTTG